AATGTGGCTCTGGGACGTTGTCAGCGTGAAAATAGAGATTAACACATTCACGACAATACGACCTACCGGTGGGTCGTATGTGTTCTGCCATTTCGGACAATACGACCCACCGGTGGGTCGTATGCTTTCCGAAGTTTTTGGTTTTGTTAGTTCACGCTGAAACTTTTTAAGCGAACCGAGTAAACTTCTGCATACACCTCTTCGACTACTTCCTAAAAGATTAACACTTCAGACCACAGGATCCATCAGTGAAAATATTACGCAAACACAATTTTGCGAAATATGCTCTGGTCCGAAATGGCAGTCATCGGGAAATCGGCACTGTCGTGAATGTGTTAAGGGCTTCAAAATGATATATAGCTTGCTAAAATTGGGTTCGAAACAGCGAAGAAAAGGGTACCAGAGCCAAATGCCCCGCGTTTGGGGTAGCGAGGTAGCGCGCAGCGCGCGGAGACGCAGACGAACAGCGGAGACAGACCAGAGCCGACGGGGCATTTGGCTCTGGTCGTAGATCTCCGTGGGGTCTCAACGAAACCCCCGCAACATTATATATCATTCTGATCGCCATGACATGACGAGGAGAACTGACAACGTCCCAAGCTTTGAAAGCCACTCATTAATAAGATAGACCAGCGTTTTCGTGCGCGACTCTCTGCGCAAAACTTAAGCGCAGTTTCTCGTTCTTATTTGACTCCAAAAGCTTTCCTAAACATCCGAGACTCGATTTTGTTCAAATGAGAGATTAACTAAGAAATTTTTTTTATGAATTCTGGCGAAAATCCCACAAAAACCTCTTTTTTAAGGTAAAAAAGGCTATGAAAACGCAAATTCTCGGTTTCTCTGAGATAAGCTAAAGATATTACTTCCTATATTTGCTTCATTAACATGTTCCGATATAATCAGGATAATAACATCCAGGGCGCAGCCCCGGATGACTTCTGTTTTTTCCAGGTGAAGGTTGTGTCTCCCCATAGCCTTCAAAATGAAGGTTACCAGAGTACGTGGCTCTATGTATCGAGGGCATGCTCCGCGGTGTTCCACTATATCCAGAGTGCGTTCGCACTCTCAAAGAGTAGTTGAAAGTTAGCAAGCTTCTTTCTCTTTTGCTTTGTCCCAGCATAGGTTCTATGAATCTACATTCATTTTGAGTTTGAAGGCGTTCCTCATTTCACCAAAACTGTTTCGATCCAATTGGTTCTCAGTCAACGACTTCAATGCGCTTTCTGTCTATCACTGCCCATGAGGTCATTAGATTTCTGCAGATCAACTTATTGCGTCATTCATAGCAAGTTCTAATTGTATAACTGAGTTAATGTATGCAATATTGATGGGGGGCATTGATAAACGACGAAACACTGCGATGCATGAGCATATCTTCGCTGCGGCTGCAGCGGCATGCGCCGCGAGCTGCTGCAGCCTGCGCTTAGTATGAAGGAACCTTCAGTAGTATTACTGGTATACACAATTCATGACACGCAAAGTTTGGGCGCCATGATATTTCGTGCATGGGATAGCCAGCAGATGGTGAGAGAAACGAAAGAGATCTGAAAAATGCTGATAAGTCGGAGTTTTTGCGTGCGAGAATCACTTATACCAGCTCTCTTTCCTTGCGTAAAGTTCATTTCATAAGGTTTGTTTAAAATTCGTATTGAAAGACAAATTTACATCCAAAATCAGCATTTTGATCGTAAATGAGAAAAAGGTATTGAAGTAAGCTATTGCCTTGCTCTTCCAGTCTATAACGAATTAGCAGTTTTGCAGTTCCTTTGCCCAATCAACGAAACCTACAAATTAAACGCAGTGCTCAAATGTCTCGTATAAAATGAAAATCACTTGAACCGTGGAGGGTTGTTTTCTTCTGTTATCATCGCTATTATCAAAATGCGAAAATACTTCGGCTTATTCAACAATGTTCATTACTTTACAATCACGTGGCAAGATGGGCGGGAGCAAGGTATTGCTTGTTGCTCAACTGTTTCTGCTTTCTACACTCCGTCTTTCCAGCACAAGCAAAAGAAGAAAAAGAAGTCGAAAAAGAAACATGAATCCGAAAGCGAAGAAACCTCATCGGTGGATGATACGACAAGTGATGAAGAACCTGAGAAACCTAAGAAACCAGCAGTAATGCCAGTCGCAGAAAAACGAGTGAGCTGCACATGTTTTTGCTCATGGAAAAGATACTGGGACATATTCAAACGTCTTATCGTACCTGTGATTGCCTACCAAACTTATTCTTTTTGACTTTTTCACTAAAAAATCGTATTCAGCAATCATAGTCAAATATCAGTTGGCTCAAGAGATGACACGTACAAAAGCGAAGCAAGCATCGCACACTGCTCCACTTATTTCGTGCTAATTATTCAACTTCTGCTTCATTGCTTTGCCATCTGCAAAGGGACAGGGGAAGGCCTTGCCAGGGGAGGGAAAACGGCTTTTTTCGCAGGGCACTCTCCAGCAGCCACCCTGATGACTTCTCTCGACAACGTAACGCGAGCGGCATTGCTTTGTTTAGGCAGAGGGTGTTGTGTGTGCGCCGCGGGGTGTTCGCGGGTGGCGGTGGTCCTCTGCGGAAAAAATTACGGTCAGTATGTCTACGCCCTTTCTGAATCATGTATGAACCGGCAAAGATGCTGACCCTGGAAATTCAAATCGTAAAGAGATCATCATTCTTGACGGAGTTCCTCAAGCGGTGGTCCGAACCCAATACCAGTGCGACATCTTTGCTTCGCAGAGGCTCGCACTGATTGTACTAACTGTATGTCCCCCCTGTGCTCTCATATTGATGAGATTCTGAAACTCACCGCGCAATGTTGACCATCATGAACGACTTGTAAACAACTTTTCATACAAAAAATTTTTTGCTGTGTGATCGGTAACTTTGGGAAGGTGAAACCTTCCGCAAAAAAATAAATGCTCGTTTCAAATAATACTAAAGCTATTATGGCTTGATTGTGGCCAACAAAACGATGGCTACCGTAAGCTACGCTGAACAAAGAATCTCCTCAATTTACTGACAAGGGAATGGTCAGAAATCGAAGTGGCCAATCCATACAAGCTGCTTACCATTCGGTATAAAATTGAATGCTGATTTCAAATCTGTCTTCCATATTTGCAGAGCGCCTTTGTAGGCGAAGTTATGAGCAGCTTTATTGCGAAAGAATCGCATACGAAAATTGCGAAATCAGATACATTATTGCTCTTTCAGCTCACTCTAGGTACGCATATGAAGTGACCCAGTTGCATGTTTTGGTCCAACACTGAGCCGAGGATAGTTTTGTACGACTGAGTTTGCACTTTAAACGAACAATTTCTTAGCAATATATTGGATATCAACGGCTTATCATTTCGTACACAAAAGCGCTCTGAAGATAAATAAGACAGATTTAGAGTCAGTGTTTTATGCTGCATCTAATGGTATGCAGCTTGTATGGATTGGCCACTTCGACTTCTGACCATTCCCTTGTGAGTTAAAGCAAAAGTCGAAGATTACTTGATATTCCCTTTTGGCGCCGTTTCCATATAAAAATAGATTTTATGACAACGTCTGCCTTGAAGTCAATGGTTTACAGATTTGCATATGATACAAATCCATGCGTTGCAAAAGTGTTTATGTAGACCCACTTCGGCGGGCCAAAATGTTGTGCGTGTATGCTTGTCTAGTACAATTTGATCCGCTCATCGCTCATCGGATCCGTTCGTCTTATACATGGTGGACCTAAATGGTAAGATCTGGTGTGTAAAAACTGGGCTTAAGAAGTTAACTGGAACACGGGCCTTTCTAATTTTCGAGACTGTTCCATTGTTTGTAAGAAACTAACATAAGTTCGTTTAATTTGTCCGTGTCGTATGATTACGACGGCTAAACCAGTTTTCAAAACCAAAGATTTCGCTAAAATGGCCCAGGGGGTCATTCGCCACCTGATTACGAATATCATACTCTCATTGCGTTCTGTGGCCTGCGCGGAGTTACAATAGGTAGTATACTTTCAAAGTCAAAATCATGGATCTTTTGGAACTTGGTGTTCTGTCTGAAACTTTGTGCAGGAAGGTTATTCACATGTTTGTCACGGATGTCATACTTGCTCCGTATGATGAAGTTCATGTTTTGGAAATTAAATTGACTTGAAAAGCGAAACAATGTTTTAAACCTTGCGAATTGCGCAATATCACGACAAGACACTGCAGCAGGAAAGTATGATTCGTAATCAGCATACTGGGAAACCCCTTTAAAGGCAGCGTCCAGGCAAGTCTGGACACATGGGGTTCTTACGTGGTTAGTAATTTTGGGGCCCTAACTAAGCCACTGCCCAACCGGCAGCTCAGCTAGTGCTCTAACGGCTGAGATATTCCCCTCGAAACTGGACCCCGCGATTGTGATTCGCATGGATTCATGGCGCAATGTGTCATGTCGCGAAACTGCCATGAATCCATGCGAATACGATCGCGGGGTCCAGTTTCGAAGGGTATATCTCAGCCGTTAGAGCACTACCTGCGCTGCTGCTTGAGCAGTGCCTTAGTTAGGGCCCCAAAAGTACTTCTCACGTAAAATCCCCATAGCTCCAGATTTGCCTGGACGCTGCCTTTAAGCAACGTTCTGAACAAATTTGGAATTGCTACCATTAGCCGTATGCCCACCGTAGCCCGAGCGAATTATCTTACGTGTTGTGAGTATTCTGAAAAATACCATTTCTTCGGTCTAATAAAATCTCTATCCTTCCAACAAACCGCGGCGACTAGAAATTTCGACGATGAAATCGCATGGGCCTTGAAAGCACGGCGATTACACAAGCAACTGTAAAGGATGGATTGCATGACCGTAGAGGATCTTTAGATAAAAACAAACCGACCTGGTTTCTTGAACTTTGAGTAGCAAATTCCGAGCAAATATTGGTTATTTAAGCCGTATCAAATGGCAGAAATAAGAAAAGTTGACTTCGAAAGAGCTTTTATCGCAAAGTACCTCGCAAAATATTGAGTTTATGCAGGTAATGCCCGGTGCATTGATCAAACCACCAGAACAACCGCCATGGTTCAAGCAAGTTCTTATCGAAGAAGAAAGACCAGACATTGTTGCAAAATTCGGAAAAAATCTTGACGTAATTGTGTATCTGATCTCAAACGAGAAACCAAGCTGTTTGAAATTTGATTTAGGTTGACGAGGCAGAACTGCTAGATGTATTTCTCAGAAGTGGTGAAGAATTAGTGCCCGGCGATCTTGTAATAACCGACGATAAGTATGAAATTTTGAAAGTGGAATGAGAGTTTCCATGTGCTCTAGTCAATTCTTGCACTCATTTCAGCCTCGACGAAGACTCTCGCGAATATTCGAGATACGAAGTACTCACAAAATATAACGAAGGCCGATACTCAGCCATTTATATAGTTGCAAAGCAGACTTGTACAGAGTAAGCAAATCCAAAGCCGCTCATCCAAGTTGCATCGAGCTACTTCAATTTTATCTACACGTAACTTCCAAACCTGCGCTTTGCTTTATCGAATACGTACTCAACTCGATATACATCACAACACACTTTGATTAGCAAAAAACGCTCTTCGTTATGTATTGTGCTATCCAATTACCTAAATACGAAGCCTTTTCAATTTTTTTCATTGAACGTCGCATGTTGATCTATTTGCGTTGCAGTAGTAGGCAAAAGCTGCATTTAGTTTCTAATGACAAAAACTTGCCGATATTCAATGTATTACAGCAACGAAGAAGTATTGGATAAATCTTTGTATGCAATGAAAGTAGGACTCAGAAAAGAAAGCGAAAACACCAAGCTTAGATTCAAGGTTTGCTCTCGATAAATCATTACTAATAGCGATTAACTAATAAATTCAGAGAGAACTGGCAGTGTTGCGAGAACTCAGAGGTGCTGGTGTTTTGCACACCCCATATCTTTTTGACAGTGGCAGAGTATGTGACAGGTACTACATAGGTGAGATTTGAAGTTGTTGTCAAAATTTTAGCTTTTCAAATCTAAAAAAGGGTGAATGTAGAGTGTTCTCCTATCAAATCCATTTTGCTATCTGCATCTTCCTCTCCACTTCAAGCCTTCCAGTAGAGATCTATATATGAGTGTAATCAAAGGTCATCGATTAGCATTTTAATCATCAAATCAGCTTTCGCCTTTTCTTACCAGCAATAGTCTCAGTACCCAGTGACATAACTGAAAGGAAATCTTCAGTCTACCTCTGCCGTTCTCGAGTAAGCGAATATCTATTAGGTATTGAACAAAGTATAATTATAACAACTATTAAAGCGCATACTCTCAATGTTCATTAACATTGGGGAACTGTGCGACTTGCAATCGTCCCTTTTGTCGCAAGGCATCATAACTTGACTATTAGGTGGGATGGAAGTTTCTGCGTAATTTACGCAAAATCCACTAACTTTCCGAATCTCAAGACTAAACTTATAATTTTGTTTTCTAAGAATAGTTGAGGAGTTTTGCTCTATGATAGCTGACTTTCTATAAGTAGCTATTGAAAATGACTTTCAAAATGGTGTTTCTAATATTACAATTTCGATTTGGTGCCAAATAATTGCGGAAAGCCGCTAACTAGTTTCGAAAAGTTTTTACATAGCTAAAGTCAACAATTTACTGTAGCCTCTTTCATATCGCGCGAAAACGCAAAACAAAAAATTTGTGAAAAAAGTCGCTCGGAAAAATTCCAAGATCACTTTTTTGCGCAGACTCTTCACAATAACACACTCTGAGAATACAGATTTAATCTCTTGCTGACCTAAAGCACTGTAACGTTTCAAAGCGTCTAATGTTATTTCCACGAAAAAGTGCAGTAATTTTTTTTTGGAAAAATCACAATCAGCACGAATGCTTTGTTTTCTGATTTCTCATACGAGATCAGAGCCTGCTTCGATAACCCACGAGCTACTGCTACGTAAGAAATTTCACAAATTTCTGACGCTAGCTATCGGCATTCCGAAGGTTTCTTGCACCAACTCAGCGCAAAACGAGATTCTGGAACTTTTGTTCTCGATGGCTGGCTTATAAAATGTTACGCTTGAGCACTGAAAAACAAAATGATAGTTTTGAAAACGTTTAAAAAGGTTGAATTTCGTTCGAGTCACGCAGATTCTTATGAAACAGAAGCTGAGCAAATTTTAGCCGTATTTGAGGATTTCCTCCTTTAAGAGTTCTCAGAAATTTTTTTTAGAAAGCGAAAATCTTTTCGCTTTTCCATTTTCGCTAGCGATTAACATTTTTTACTTGAGAACAACCCCATAATAACACCTGTCATCAAAAACGTCTCTAAAAGCTCGTATGGAACGATTCCTTTGACATATATCAACTTTCAGCACTGTCGATAAGCTTTTGATAAGCTCGCTTTACCTTCCAAACATTCTGATTTTAAGAGCATTAAATTCCAACATAAGAAAAAAGCAAAATTTCAGTGAAATCCTCACATTTATATGCAAATCAAAAATATGTGGACTCGAATGTAAAGAATATTGGAGACCCGTAATTTCGCATTTTCAAACACTAGTAACCAACCACTTTTTGACTACAATAATGCACAAATTCACTGATGCTTACACAAGAAAACAATGAAGAGAACGATGTTACAGGAGAAGGTGGGCTAGGCAATAAATCACAATCTTTGGCAATTTGCACAGTACTCCCTTTGCGCAGTGGAATTTAGTCAAATTTTTCCTCTTGCCTTTATGTTCAATCAAAGATCACTCTAATTAGGACTTTACGAATCAAAACAAGAAGCTGTGGTCATATACTTGTTGAGTAGTAGTGCTTCTTTATATCTGATGTTTTGCTTTTCAAACAGGAGAAACAGTCTCGAATTGTTGTGTATATGTGCTCGTAATGTTCTTGATTCCAAAATTTCGTAATGTACATGCTGACGTGGTTTTGGTTTGGAAGAAGTTAGCATTTACAGTGATGACACTACTTGATAAAAACCTCGAAAAATTAAAAGAAAATATCAAAGGCTCTTTTCGGCCATCTACAGTATATTATCTTGCTGGCGAAGCACTTGCAGCAATTGAAGTGAGTCTGCTTTGACAAACCTTATTTCGGGTAAGATAATACATTATTTGAGGAATTGCACGCTATAGGATACATCCATCGAGATATAAAACCAACTAACTTTTGCATTGGTATAAGCGTTACCGCAGCTCGTTTGTATTTGGTGGATTTTGGTGAAACCGTCAAGAACGGGAAGAACATCAGGTTGGGCTCAACTAATTCACCATTAGAGTGAGAACCTTTGACTCAAGATATGGTATACCGGATGCATACTCGTTGCCCTATTGGGCTATAGATTCTCATAAAAAGACAGCTGCCAGCACAAGAGTAGATCTTGAAGCATGGTTATACACTTTTGCCGAGTTGTGAGTTTCTGGTACAAATTAATGTTGCGTAAATTACACTTTCCAGGCTTTATCCGAACATGCTAACCTGGAAGAAATTCCGTGCGGAATCAGAGGTTTTGGCTGCAAAGATGAAGTTCTGGGAGGGTATGTTGTTGCACCGCATTACTTTTCATAAACACATTGATTGCAGAGCTTTCAAACTTTATTAGTGATTGGTCTCCTCAAATGAGTGAAGCGGCGAAGATTATCAAAGATACAACAGAAAAAGCCAACTACGAAGGATTGAAACGCTTGATGGAAGAAGCTAAAGTGGCATCGTTGCAAGGGTACATTAGTGTAGATATTATGCACAGATCATCATTATTTGTGATTCAGAGCACCGCTCACGCTAGAGTGGGTCAAGGAGATGCCAAAAGCTCTTCCAAAAAGAGCTGATCCGCTGGGGTCGAGTGTGAGGAGTGTGCGCTCAAAAAGAAAACCGCCTCCAAAAAAGAAGACTGAGTCGCCTAGGAATGTTCAACAAGTTCCAGAGGAATATAAGTCCATGACAAGCACTCTCATGGCAAAAATATTATCGCGAAAGCGAAAATTATCGCTTCCTCGTCTTAGCTGGAGCACAACGGTACCTCAGAAGGACGTATATCCGCAAGAGCAGTTCCTCGACATATCCGTTTTACCAAAAGCAACGCAGCCTACGGAAACGAAAACTGAAAAGTCTGATACCTCTTCTGCACAAGAGGGCAAGAAAAAGGATGCGTCTAAAGAGTCAGCACAAAAACGAGGAGGAAGTGCAGAGGCACAGCCGAAAAAACCGCCGTCAGCAGAAAAGGTCACTGGTGGTACAGGCGCCAAAGACGAATCAGCTCCCAAACCAATAAATGAAACAGACTCTAAACCGGAGCCTGCTAAGTCTAACCTGTTTCAGCTGCTTAGCTTGCGGATGAAAAGGAAAAAATCTTCTACGACAGAGGCGAAAAAAGCGGACTCGAAAGCAGCTGAGCAAACCACCGCCACTGGGACTCCCGAAGAAGCTAAACGGAAAAGCAGTGAAAGCGCTGGAGAGCCCTCCAAACAGGCTACACCTAGCTCTGCACGTAAAAGTGCGGAATCACTATTTCAGACAATTAGTAAGCGTATACGAAGAAAAAAACGCGACACTTCTGCTGCTGCTGATAAACCAGCGGAGAGCGAGAGTATAGCAGCGAAAAACAAGCCAGAAACTGAGGCTGTACCACCAGCCGAAACTGTAAAAGTGCAAGATACAGCCAATACCGCTGCAGCTGCAGAACCTACTGCACAGGCCATTTCTAGTCCTGCACCATCCAAAAGCGCGGAATCCTTGTTCCAGACCATTAGCCGTCGCATGCGAAGGAAGAAACGCGACTCATCTACGGCCATTGATAAACCAGCAGAAAGCGCATCTACAGCAAGTACCACTAAGCCAGATAAAGAAGTCGCATCTGTTGCCGATGCTGCAAAAGCACAAGAGAGCAAGCCTATATCTTCCGCTATTGTAACTCCAAAAGTAGCCACTACAGAGAAGGCTGCTGTCAATGATGCTGAAAAGCAGGCGCAATCAGGAGCGGAGAAAAAGCCTGGTAGCCTAATCAGTCGGATACTGCCTTCATTCACGGGAAAAGCTCCAAGTCCAAGTACATCAGATGCACAGAAAGTTGCAGCAGATGAAGGCTCCCAGCCCAGTCCGAAAGCTAGCCCAACTCAACGAATGCGAACGCTGTTACAACGCTTAAGACGGAAAAAGGACAGCCGCTCCGATAGTGAGGCGCGAAGTCAAGCGAGTTCGTCAGTAATTGGTGCACGCAAATCTGAATCTGAGCGTAGCCTGTCATCTGCTCAGTCAGACAGATCACTTCTGAGACGTTTCCTTTCGAGAAAAAGCAAACAACAAGGAGATATTCCAGCAGGGAAGGAAACCGCGGCATCTAGTGAAGCAAAAGCTGTAGCTGAAAGGCAGTCACTTAGTGCCACAACCGCTGAGGGAAGTTCGACGGAAGGAAAATCAGTAGCAGGCAGTGATGTTTCTCAAAGCAAAAGTCCTTCGAAGATGGCAGAGTTACGACAAAGGCTTAAAGGAAAAGCTAAAGGTTTTTGGAAAAAATACTTGACAAAGGATTCAGCTGCAGAACAACCACAGCCAGATAATAGTGGTACGCAAGATCAGATAAAGGAACCTCTAAAGGAAGATGGCAATGAAAAGAAGGGCGAAGGTGGCACAAGGAATGAAGAAGAGAAGGAGAAAAAGTGAAACATTATTAGAAATTTATGTTTAGTGCAAACAATGTTCATCAAAAATTAAACCAGTTCTGCGCCAAGATAAATTGATTAAGAGCTGCGTCGTGTGCTAAACAAAACAGGAAATGATTCATGAGAAATGATGAGTACATAGTGATGGAGTTGCTAAAATTTTATTGTTATAACAGGCCCTTTGAATGAGCACTTAGTGAAGTTTGAAGTGAAAACGAGTCTACAAATAAGATTTGGTTCTGGAAGTGTTCAGAACGTCGATTCTTTCAGAAGTCTCTCATCCATTAAATACTGCATGCTAGAAATCTCATTCTCTACCGCACAAAGTCATGACCATAAGATCCCATCACGGCTCTGCATCTACAGCTTCGTCGAAATCTGCTACGCACATCTAAGAATTCAGAATGAGGGCTCTAGAGAAAAGCATTTTTCTGCATTTTGCATCTTGCAAGGCATATTTTTTGAAAACAAAGGGACGTGCCCCCAACACGATACCCGCTCTTCTTTTACTATCGAAAACGATTGACAATTGCTTGCCAAACATCTCCAGCACAAGGGGTAGAGTCAAAAGCAAAGATACAGTATAGGGTTTGGCAAAGTTTATCAACGTCATCGAATGCTTGTTACGCTAGCGCTATATTTTGAAAGGGAACGATAGTACGATGGATTCAAATACATCAACAAAACGACTGTGAACGCATTGTTAGAATTGAAGATTATAGAAAAATTTGTTGGATCCGAAAAAAGAGTGTCTGAGATGCATGATGCTCATATGTAAATAGTAGTAATTATAGCTTTCTTTACATTACGACATATTCCGGGGTTTATTACGGGCCCTGTTGAAGTTCGATTAATCCCAAAATGTTGACGACGTGTTTGTCAGATCAGAAGGCTTTATATACAACTTACAGGGAAAGGATTCAGAGTCCCATTCTCAGATAATCGCCGGGGGCAGGCGGCCATGCGATTTTTGGGCAAGCGGGGGGCCGCGCGGTCCTTTGTGGAGGACCGCACAGCCCTCAGGTACTTTCCGCTGAGAGAAAGTACCCCAAACTTGGGTAATAAAACCATCGAAGACACCTCTGCCAGGTAGAGTCTTACCTTAGCTCGGCGTACGCACGAAAGTGCATGAAAGGAGTCCGAGCGCTTGCAGAAAATTCTGTATTGCTGCCGGCTGGCAGAATAGGGAAGTACCGCTCGCTGAAGGTTTGGCCGCGCTCCAAAATTTTGCTGACCGCTTGCAGAAAAGCGCGAGTTTGCGGACCGCCTGCCCCCGGCGATTATCTGAGATAGGGAAGTACCGCTCGCTGAAGGTTTGGCCGCGCTCCAAAATTTTGCTGACCGACTGCAGAAAAGCGCGAGTTTGCGGACCGCCTGCCCCCGGCGATTATCTGAGTTGGCGGTCAACAAGAAGGTGTACATCACTAAGGTTTCTTCTAAAATCTGATAACATATCCGCTTTCCATACTTGCGATAAAGTTTCATGAAAGAAGTTACAGACTCATTGACTCATGTGTTTTGCTCTGTTTACAGCCAACTCCATTAGGAGTATAACTATTTAGAAAAAAAATAATTAGGAATCAGCGAAGTAGAGTCATACTTGTGCATTTTATGGCCGAATGTTGACTATGACTCAACAGAAAGCTGCAATTCGTCTATTACTACTGCTTACCACCTCCCGACGCGATTCTACGGTTAGGCCTTGGGCAGAGTTCACGCGATTTAATCGTCGCGATTCAATCGCTAAAAAACAAGTGTTAGGCCCCGGACAGACTTCACGCGATTTGATCGTCGCGACTCAATCGCCGACATTTCCATTCATTTTCATTTGAAATTCAAAAATTTCGGGCTGGAAAATTATCACAACCGAAATGCAAGTTGATCGGCATGGAATGATGTTGTAACAGTTGTCTCGTCGCGATTCAGTCGCCACGCTTGGGCGTGAACTCTGCCCGAGGTCTCATACTCAGAGAGTTTAAGGATAACCGCTTCTCTTGCTTGTGAGAGACGGCGACATTTTTCTCTTCCTCTTCAACTAGGTGTAAATTTCAAACAGGAACTTAATTACAAGCCTATGGGATTGTGAAATATCGACCAGTCATGGCCAGGTGCAACATGTTGCGCTACGTTTACACGTCAATTTTTACTCTGTGCATAGATGTAGGCTGATCGCGCCACTATCGAACTTTTGAGTTTGTGTTATACAAATGTTGTCTGAAATGCAGGTGCTAATTGCGATGCACTGGATTATAATAAAAACCTCTTGCGGGTGCACCGAGAGTTGACGAAACATGTTATTTTCAAGTTACGAAGTAGTTCTGTTTTCCTCTTCAACAAATAAGTACGCTGAAAAGCTGAGAAAGGTGACCGAGTGTGACTTAAATGAGTACATGTTTTTGTTGCTGAGCGATGAGGCAACAATGTCGATATGTCGAAAGTCGATGTCACGTCGTTGATGGGTATGTATCTTGAACACTCGAGCTATTTACAATCAATGTTGTCGTTCAAAAAGTGCTTTCGTCAGAGATTATATGTTTGGCGGTACCATGAAGGTGGCAGCGAGTGTAGCTACAAAATCTTCGAAATGAAACGGTAGTAGTTACTATTTTAAAGCACTTCTGTGAATATGAAGTTTCAAGTAAACATCCACAAAAACTTTATACTAATTCTCCAAAGGAGGAATGCTTGGTGACCACGCGTTATTTTGGGTGATGTTCATAGGCAAGCTTTTTTCTATAAGTTAGTCATAGTTCTTTGTTTTCTCTGTGAAGGTTTTCGCAGCAAGTTCTTAGGTCCGTGTAAATACCGTCAGCGACGCAAAGTCAGCACCTGGCCCCTAGTAACCCCCCCCCCCCTAAAGAAGACCGGACATGACCGCTCCAAACAAGTCATATGCCGGGGAGCCGGCATTGGCCGCCGCAAAAGTAGTCACCTGCCCGACACCGAACCCGAAAATGAAACATGAGCAGCCCACGCAACCGCTACAAGTAACTATTTTACGTTGGCGAACGAATCCCAAAGCAGATGAAGCGGTTGCTGACTGTACGTGGAAGACGATTAACCTAATCTTTCGCACTGCCTTTGGTTATAAACTATCAAGGTTCACGTTAGAAAATAAAGGCAAAAAACAACAACAACAAATTACATAGTGTCTTTCTTGGCGGCTGCAATTTCCCTTCTACTCTGTTACCGTACAATGTCCTTGTCAAAATCTCTCTTACTTCTATGAGAATGCTAGTTAATCTAGGAACATGTTGAGTATGAGTAATTTTTAAGACAATCATGGTCTATTTACAATGATAGAATCGTCAACTGGTTGTTGAAGAAGTCCTAGCCAATGCTGAAACCAAAGCCTTTGGTGAATCCAAAGTTGCCGAAAGGAGTCTTGATTCCGATTCCTCTTCCAACACCTGTTTTGAAGAAATTTCCGTTGAAGTTATTTCCTGGATATTGCACACGATAATATGGCGAGGGGTAAAAGCTAAAAATATTTTTTGCAGTTATGACGTAGTTGGTTGTGGTTGTTGAAGAATTGCATAAATTGATTGCGACCAACAATTGTCTTTTGAAGCGTCCGTCGGAGGTTTTTGCCAGAGATTCGATTTGAAGATCGCAATCACTCTCAGCTGCCCCATTTGACTTGCGAACCTGTCCTCCCTGCACATATGGTACGCAAGAATGAGTATAAAATAAAATGTAAGAGAGTTATAAGCTCAACATTACCTTTTGTATCCGCTTCCACTCGATGTTCGTTGCTTTTGAATTTTGCTTCTCAGTGAACAATCCTTATTTTACATTGAGTGCGAGCAAAAAACTTACAAGCATATCCGAACTGAACAGCGCCGATGGCGCACAGCAAAACTGCGAAATTCATAATCTCGTGAAATTTTAGAGATGACTCAAACACTGCAGAATATATATAGCTAGCTATAGTGTGAAGCAACAAATTTGTGGTCGCAATTAGAAATGCAAGCAGTTTTCGTTTTTGTTGATGGAAAAAATATTACAGCGCGGCCACATCTGTGAAAGGCGAAAAACTTGCAGGAGGCGAAGCTTGACGCACGTTTATAATCGAATGTGACCCAGTTTCCCGCAAGTTCCATGTAGAATTGATAAATATAGTGCACTGTGTGTACTTTTCTTCGGACATAATTCGATTTATCTGCACCAAAAAAACTTAGGAATCACCAGATCGTAATCATCTGCGATAACAGCTTCAGCTCTCAAAGTTAGTTGTGCATTTGGATTTTGCAGTCGCAGCGTTCATCAGTAGAAAGTGCATCGAAACACATCAGAGATAGACCGTGTTGATATACGACATCCTTCCCCTTTCAACATAGAAATGCACACAAAACTTTTTTTCAGCTATGAGAATGAGTGTTCTGTAGTTGCGAGCGAGGGAATTAAACTTGATTGCGCGTTGATGTGAACGTAACGTTCAAAGCCAAACCTATCAATTACAAAACATGCTTGCAGTGAACAGCGGATACATCGGATGAAGGTCAGCCGAGCAGGGGTTTGGAAATCCCAACTAACAATAACGATTGGTTCCTCATGTCAAATGCAAAGTTTCGTTGGGCTTTCTGAATCACTTCAGTGGGACAAAATGCGTTCAAATCCTTTGCTTTTTGATTTCTTTCTGAAATTTTTTTTATAAAAGTTTTCAGGTGCATTCAGATAATTGCTGATTTTTTTTCAAAAAGTGGTTTTGCAAAATTTCAGAGGCTACTAGCGCTCAACAAATTGCACACAAAAAGTAAAGAAAATGCACCCCCTAATGTGTCCAGTCTGTCAGCTCAAAAAATACGGTGAAACAGATACGCATTTTTCTCATGTAACTGCTGTCAGATGCTGTATCTTATGAATGTATCTCATATCTTATTGTTAGCAATATTATCTAATTTAGATGCAGTGTTGGTAAGAGGCTAAATGAATAACAAGGTTGTTCGACAAGTACTATTGTCCGCATCAAGATTATAACATAGGCTTTGCTTCCTGCATTAAACAAAGCTTCTGTTCTGGCTAATGGTTGAGGTAACACTGTAGCCACCTACACAATCCTCTCTTTGGAATCCTTCCATCGAAACCATCATTGAAAAATTCGCAAGAGGATCACGCTGTATTGTAATCGCACTTATTTTCTGTACAAACCCATGCCAGGATTTCAGACTTCGATAAGTAAAGAGCGGTCCAATTTTGACACAAAAATATCTACATAAAGAGAATGCTTGAAATTAAAATTCCAAATCAACCGTGAAACTTGGCCTGGCTTTTGTAGATCCTAGTAAGTGTTGTGGCTAAGGCCAAGATTGCTATACAAGCTGACGCTTTAGCGTCTCTGCACATTTAGAGTCTTATGGCCTTGCAGGCAAGAGTAGGCGACCACCTGAGATAAAGCACCACTATTATAAATCTGTACAGGTATCTTTTAGCTGTTAAATCTGATAGAGATCACACAAAATGAAAAGTAGTTATATGTCAATGTCGAGTGCAATTGCGATAGTGCGTCTTCAACATGGGAACTCTGCCTGAAAGCAAATGCTCAGAGAATCGCCGTGGGTAGGCAGCTTCTTGAGGTCCGCTTGCAGATATCTGGAAAAGTATTGGTCACTTTTTAGACGAACACTCAAAAAACATCCGCTACTTTATCATGAATTAGTTGCGGCGCAGTAGACGAATATGCAAAATTGTTGAGGACCGCACGGTCTTTGTGTAGAACCGCACAGGCCGTAGGTACCTTCCACTAAAATCTCGTCACCTTTGCTAAAAAAAACTTTGCTGTTCCAGTTCATATTTGATACTCAGGCTCACAGATCGGACAGGGTAAAACTATTTCGTCTCAATTTTACTTTGTATCTTACAACTGGCAAAAGAAAAAAAAAATGCGACAGGCAGAAGTTCAACCAAACTGTTCATATCAACTACAAAATCAGCTCAAACTTGGAAGATATATCATGAAAAATGCTCGACCAAAATTGATTCACATAATGCAGAACTGGTAGAATGTGATGATTACATATATAGAACATTTGAAAGCACAAGTTCTAATCTATATATATATATATATATATATATATATATATATATATATATATATAAAACTCAAAAATTGTCAGTTTGGAGGGTATGTGCGTTATAGAAACGCGCGCCACTCAACCGATTCGGCTGAAACTTTGCACACATATGTTTTCGACCCTTGCGCAGATGATAGGCTACTTTTTGCGGCGATTCGTTGAGTCCTTCTATCGATTTATTGATTTGTTTACATTTCCCGAAGGAATTAAAGGGTTATCATGTTCAATCAAGCATTTTCCATACTCATGTAAAGGAGGGCGGTGAAGCTCATTCTCATCTCAGGATCACGAGGATGCGGTTTCGAAGCGGGTCCCACGGTAAGTCATCCATGCCGTATAGGGCGGGGGGGGGGGGGAGTGGGAGGCTCGCAGTGCGGTGAACCATGGCCCGGGCTAGACCGGGAAAGCCAACTAGTTTATTTATAAATGTAAGAAGTTCTACTCATGAAATGAGCAAAGAAAGTGAACGGTCGGATAGCGGAAGTTACACATGCACCACTTTTCACAAAAAGTAGAATACCGTGAAACGTTGAAAGAACCGTGTAAAAATCAAAGTAGCCGATGTTAGAGATCAAACAGTTTGTCAAATAACTGATATTGTAGCATTACAAACTATCATTAAAAGGTATGAGTATGTAACCAAAAGTTGGTTATTGTTAGGTGAAAGGGCATGCCGTCACAGCTTCAGCGAACTCGGCAACTTGTTTAGCGTCCTGGTGTTTTCTTGAGGTTTGAGTCGTATATAAGAGCTCATTGTCAGCAAGATAATGGGCATAAAGTTACACCTTTAAAGGTTTCTCGCATGTGTATTTAAGTCCTGATTTATTCTACCAGTATTCTTTGGTATCTTGTATAATCTTTATGTGAGTCAATTTCATATACAAATACACAGGCATTCGTCACACTTGATGTGAAGAAAAATCATTGGATGAAAAGAGCGGTGTCACTTTTTTGAGCATAGTTGAAATTATCAAAGTACATTGCAGTCTTTTTACACCACACTTTCCACGCATACCAAGTGGTTTCAAAATTACTTTCGCTCAATGAATCGATTAGAACTCTTATGGAAGTGGCCAACAATCTTCAGGGTGTTCAGCCCACTCGCTCAACTTTATGCAATCCTTCTTCCTCATGTAGCTTTCATCTCGAAAGCTCTTTTGAATGCATTAAGCCGAAACCGCCGTTTTGATCAAGTATCTTAGCTCTACTGAATAAGATCCTCCATGTTCTGGCCTTTTTTCAACCAGCTTTTCAAGGCATTGTGAAATAAAGACGCGTATTTTATACAGCCAGAAGAAAAGCTTATATCGTTTAACTTTTTCTATGCCACAACAGGTTTTTATCGAAACTCTTTATTGAGCCTTACCTTTCAGCGGAAAAAAGAAACCTATAAAACTTATAAGTTCTCACTTCAAAAAAAACTGTGCAAAATCATCTCATCATAATGATGACCAATATTGACTAATACCTTTGGTATCAAAAACTTACTTGAATGATGTTTGACCATTGCGCATTAAATTTATGCTCTGTAGTCGTTCATTTGCCATGTTTGTGACGAAGTTTTCACTGTTCAATCATTTTACCTTCTCTCACAAAATTCCAACACGAACTACTCTCTTCAACTAATCTAAATTGTTCTCCTTTCAGCTATAGATTGTACTACGATATGCAAAAAAAGGAACTAGCTTTACTGTTTCTTATATTATATCAAACGCAAGCACAAGGTAGGTAGGTGAGCTGGTTGTTAATTTACTATGATTTCTCAAAATTTCAGATGTTTCTTCGCACTCATTGAGAAATCAACATATACGTCATATTAGGCAGATGTAAGTTTCTTTTTACAGAATATCGTTTCCAAGATTTACTCCTCAAGATCAGTTTTCGATGTTGCGATCGCGTTATAACGTATGTAAAGAAGAACAAAATTATCGATGAATGATTGGCACTTTCACTAATCGTTTTGTTTTTCAGTTTCAATAATTTTCATGGTTTTGATATTTGGGTATCTTGAATGAAAACAGAAATTCGTAAATGATTCCGCTCAAAAGATTCCAAATACTAGAAACATCGCTACCACAGAACGTGCAATTCCTTCAAAAGCAAACTATAGTACAACATGAAAGCATGTTGTTTCAGATTTTATCCCCCATTTGGGCCTTCTCCCTTCTACCCTTCGTATCCTGGATACGGTACCGGTGGCGGACTCCTTGGAAATATATTCAGCATGAGTTTTGATGGAGACAAAGGCCGCTTAGGTCCATGGGGACCATCTAGGTCTTCGAGTAGCTGGTCAATAAGCATCGGTTAACTGATTATTGAAAAAAAAAACATTTGCGACTTAATATTGTATATACATCTGAAAAGATTTTGTATGAGGTTTTGTGGAGGAACGCAACTCAGGCAATTTAAATTCTATTGTGGTTGATAAAGTTTTGACTAATTAATATGTATTATTTGTTTAGATCGAGTTTACTTTTGCTGGAGATATGACCAAGTGTGAATTTTGCAGCAATATTTTCATCAAAAACAAATAAATTTCATAAGCATTCCTCAAAATATCGAAATCGATGAGCATACATTTTTTGCAGAAACGCATTGTCCAAATAGGCTCTCATTTTGTTCCGGCGTTATCTAATGATCAAGTTCATTTCATAGCGCCATTTGCCGAACGTGTGCTCAGCGAAAAAAATTGTACTGGTTTCTGCTGAGCGTTTCTCGCTTCTTTTTTCTCAACGTAACAAATTTGGCTAGTATGAGTAATGAAGAATCTACATCATTTATGCTTATCTCTAACCCATCAGGAAGCAGCTTGAATGTCTTACCTCATCCCTCAATGAATAGTGCCCATATACATATGTGGAAGACAACTCGCCTTAGAATTGTTAAGTGGGGACTGTAGACCACCACTGAGGTACCAGTCAACACGAGCCAGAGTGTGCCAAACGAACAACCCATTTTTTAGATTTTCGGAAATCATTGAAAGAAATCAAAAAAACGTTGGTACTACGTGAAAGAGCACAGCAGAGAATGACAGTCGGTCAACCTTAAAAATGTTTTTGCACCGAATGCGAATTTTTAGCGGGTCATTTTATACGAACACCTTAAACGATTTTTCTTTTCTAATGATTTTGAGATAAAATTTTTTGCAGAGAGTAACAAAGTCTGAGATATCTGCCACACATTGAACTCAGCGCAGTCTGGAAAAAAGAGCGTTACTCTTCTCAGATGACTCAATGCTTTTGGAGTCAGTGCGCACTAAATACGTCTGTTTTTCTATGGTTCAACACTCTAATTAGCGCCTACCAAGGTTTTGGGATGAACTAAGCTTTTTAATAGATATTTCGTTAGGAGCTTGGAAAATCCCTTTATACTCGTCGCGCTTTTCGACCAAGCCCCAACTACACAGGCAAGTTCAGTGGCCGTATTCAAAACAAACCCAGTGGCAGTGGGTTCGCGTATCTACTGAGTAGGATCGGTATCCGCAAAAAGCTCTGCTGGGTACGCTAACCCACTAGCTTCGTGAATACCCATTTCGTGGACTAAGCGTACCCAATAGGTTCCAGAACCTTTTGTGTTCGTTGATGAATACGGCCACGGATCCTCACTACAGAGTTAGAACAATTTCGAGCCTCAAAAATCAGCTTCTGTCCCGCGCAAACAGTTGCGATAAGATTTGGGACTTTGGAGCTAAAAGGCTAGGAAAAGGTGATCGCAGTGGTGAAACAGCCATTTTTGTCAGATGATGTGTATGTGGCCAAACAAATGCTTCGCGTTGCAAAAGTTTGGGTAAACACAAAATCTTACGAACTTGCATGGCTTTGCTTGCTTATTATGGGACTACAGAAGCTAAATTTGTCAGACTGGGAATTGTGCTAAATCTAGAGTAAGGCTGGAGCGGTGTTCTATAATTATAAACTGCACTCTATCCGGTACGCTTTTGGGCCAGAACTTCCAGGAAGTGCGCGTCATCGTTCAATATAGTAATACAATCATCTTTCCTATACATTTTTTACTCAAGCGGATAATCAGGAGCCTTCCAGTGTGCGTGCCTTTAGTTTTGTGGCTTACCTTTTCCCAGTCAAAAAGTACAGCACTGATTCTCAGGCATACTTTTACATAGAAAGTAGTGATTAGTATTGAGTTAGTTTCCAGCAATTTTTTAAAGGAACGAAAACTCTTAACTAATTTGCGCACAACTCGCTTTGTTACCGTAGTCACAGCTCCATGTACCTTCTGTTACTCTATTTTAGTATCCCAGTAGATGCTCCTGATTTTTGCAGACCATTCCATAGTAGCTTCTTCTCCTTCGTAACCGCTACAGAGCGCTGCAAACATTACCATTTTCATGCTCAGACAAACGGCGGGAAGTTCCGGCGAACATGCGTAAAATATCAAAGTTCCGGAGAACCTTGTTCACCATTGGGGTATAGAAATGACGAAGTTCCCGTGATTTATGACGTCACAAAAGCCGCGGATTCAAAGTTCCGGTGAAAGCGCGTGGGAACTTTGGCAAAGATGACAAAGTTCCCGTGAAGTACACTAAATACAAAGTTCCAGCGAACTTTGTCGTGTTAGCCAGCCGATCGGCGCGGGACGACGCTTCGAGGGCGCGCGCTATGAGGAAGCGGATGTCGAAATACATAACGCCGCAGCGTAGGATCTCGTTTGGGGGTAAGTTCATGCCTCTTCTATCAGTACTTTGTGATGAAGTGTTTCCTTTTTCAGGTGCGAACAAGTGGAGAAGAGGCGCACGACTGCTCAAACGCGCAGGTGCAAGTTTCATCTCGGAGAAGCTCTTCGCTGGCTACTGAGAGAAAAAAAGGTAAGCACTCAGTTATTTTGTGTTCCCAATGATGTATTTCCTTCTCTTGCTCTTCATTTCCAAAAGTTGTTATGGGACGCTTTTTTGGATATTTTGTCGTCTTCTTCTTTCTTCATGTTATCTCTGCTCTTAACTCTATCTTCTTGTTATTTCTCCTTTTACCTTTATCTCTGTCTGTCTTCACTACAAGCGTCCCTGGTCTGAAATGTTCTCTGAAAACGCTAAACTTATTTATGCTAGTTCTATGATGAAAGTTGGGTGAGAATTTTGATATCACTATCATACAACTGGGACACGGGTAGAACTTTGGCTGAGGAGTACTTCTCGCGTACGGCCAGCAGCTTCGGCAACGAGTATAGCCTCAGGAAGACTTTGGCAAAAGTTGATCCTAGTTCCTCAGCTTCCTTCAGTGTGCCCGTCATTTTCCTGGAAAACAAGCCAGTGAGAAAAACACAAAAACACAAAAAAATGGTTATTTGTACTTTTATTCGGTTTTCTCACTATTGGATGATTCTTGTTGTAAAAAGCCAGCATACTACAATACAAAATTGCAGTTTGCAAAAAGGAGTAAGACTAGACAGCCAAATTGCGTAAAAAGTATTTTCGTGACAAAGTAGTCTCGCCGCGTCGATAATCATTTTTTTGCAAAACAAGTCGGGAATCCTGACTCTACCTAACCTTTCCAACCATTGACAATATGCCAAGCAAACACAGAGAAGTCACTGCTTTTGAAAGACTCAATGTGATTTCCCTTTTACCAGGGATTTAAAATGTGAAAAAGTTGGACTCGGCCATATATTAGGCGTCACCGCTGTAATCACCAGAGGGTACTGGTAATAGCGAAACAGCAACAATGCATGGTCGGACCCTTTTGCTAGTTACATTTCCACTATTTTTGTCTCTTTTTCACAGAATTTGGAAACAGCCAAGTGTGAGCATTCATAACAATAAATTCTTACGGTAGTCTCTGAAGGTGGCGGCAAAATATTACCTTCCTTCAAACACAATTCACACTATTAAACGGCAATGATGATAGAGAATGATATAAAAAAGTCAAGAAATCAATTAAGAAGAGTTCTTGGGGAAGAAATGATAGCCTCACAAATAATCAAAGCTCACTTCATTTTATTTTATCGCTATCAAAGGGTGTTTCAAATAGCTTAGCAGCAATATATGTACAGGCACATGCCGTATGTGGATGGGAGTATCGGTGAGAGTGACGCATCCAGGAATGCTATCTCAATAAAGAAACTTCACGAGTAAAAACACAGAACACAACCAAAAAACGTCACCTGGATCAAAAACTTCGCCATATGATGCGCTGAAGCAGAAGCAACTTGTCAAAATGTTAGAGGGAACGTATATCACTGCTCTTATTAGTATTGCTCTTATTGCTCTTATTATTACTGCTCTTATTATAACCTGCATTCATTCTGTTACAACCAAAGCAAGCCGTGAAGTAGAATGCGTGCCTACGCAGTTACACACTGCACCATACTCCACGCCCAAAACCAAAATTCTATTGGCATTCTGTTCCTGAAACTGTTCCACCTCATTCGCGCTCAGCCGCCATTCAAGGTATTTAGACACAAACTGTTGCAAAAAATCGCCGAATTTTGTTTGTAGGAAGTACCCTGATTTTACGCGTACAAGGCGCACCTTTTTCGATTTTTTAAACGTGCCGCTCAGCCGCCTCGTTGTGTTTCGGAAAACGAGACTTAAGCCGTACGATACTCTCAGGCAATATACAGCGCTGTATATAGTTTTTTGTTCGCGAAGTCCTTTGCCGTGTTTGGGCTGGTCGATTTTCGAAAAAAATCTCCCGCGCCTTGTACGCGTGAAATTAGGATAAATTTTGAATGAATTCCTGCGAAAGTACGCCCCTCCAAAAAGAGTAAAGAACGACTTCACCAGCGAAGTCATCGACTTTCTACGAACTCTGTTCAAAGAGGTGCGTATTTAACTCCGGATACAAAATGAAAAATCTACACTTAGATCTGCGCACCCGATCCTTCTGATATCTGGAATTACGCGTATCGTGTTTCAAAAGTTGCTCGAAGGACGGATATAAGCAATCTACCCGACTCCATTGTTGATGGGCTTACAGGTGAAGGTAATTCACATCTGAAAGGGGTTGAGCTACAAAACATTTAGAGTTCATTTTGGACGCTTTGGATCTGAACCACAACGAACTTTATGGATCGAGGCTGCATCTGCTGAAAAATTCACAGAACAGGTGCTGTCTATATCTACAATAAGCATTTTAGGCGCTGAAAATTTCTTTAGTTTCTGGTTGTCGTTAGCTGAAAACGAGCAGGGACGTGAAAAAGTTTTCAATTCACTGCTGGAAAAGAAGTCGAAATGGAGCGTAAGCGCAAAAACATGCATTGCTGAAGCGCTGTAAGTCCACCACTTCTACATAACGCCATCATGAAAGGCAGTTTCTATTTTTAGGGAAGATGTGCGCTATTATCGCCTCCACGAAGGTCATCTTGTTCCACCGAAGGTATGCTAAAATCCGCTTCCTCCCATTTCTATTCATATATATATATATATATATATATATATATATATATTTAGAAATCGAAGGGTGCCCTTGTCGGACTTGGACGCACTGACAAAGAGGCGATGAGCACGGAGGCTTGGAAAGCAAACCTAGACGTCAGCATTGAGAACTTAGGCAGCCAGTGAAAACAATATCAATCCTTTTATCAATGTTTGTGTTGATATATGAATACTCGTTACGTGTATATGTACTGTATAGTTGTTAGTACAGTTACTGTAGTTTTTCGATGAAGTCTTTATGTTAAGCGTTAAACAAACATTTCATCGTTAATAAATATGTACATTTCATCGTTAATAAATATATCGATGTTCTCTATAGCAATCGCATCAGAAGTGGTCATTAGCTGGGATTCCGAGGGATCAAGCAAGAAGTTCCCCAGAACTTCAACTAATGAAGTTCCCGTGAACTACAGTCTTTTGGAAAGTTCCCGAGAACTTTGGAAGACGAAGTTCCGGCGAACTATAATCTTTTATGAAGTTCCCATGAGCTTCAGAGCTGAAGTTCCCACGAACTTACAGTGGTATTCCCACAAACTTACAATGGAGTTCCCCAGGTGACCCGCCGGAACTTTCTTCAATGTTCGCCGGAACTTCCCCCCGTTTGTCTGAGTGGGTATCGTTTTTGAGGCATCCTTGAGTTCAAAGCCAAATCCCCCTCTCTCCCATCTCTCCTCCCCCCCTCGCCACACACTTCTATCCATAGCTACCATTTCTTCTGCTCTGAAGCTTTTCAAAACTTTGAAGCTTTTTTCTAAACAAAGTTCTTCACATTCTCCGGTCTAGCCTTAGAATCAGGGTTTCTTTTCTCCAGATTGTCCTTGAAAATATTACCCTCTCTCCGCGATGCTGTGGTTTTCAATATTTTTCTGCAAATGACTTTATGGAAGTTAGAATTCGCTTCCAGAGTTTGAACTGCGCCATTGTCCTCCCTAACTACTAAATAAAACTTTGCTCATATGCTCAAAAACTCCAGTGTAGCTAGTTACATAATTCACCACTGCTCAAGTTTCCCTTCATTAGACTGCCTACGTGTAGATAACGAATCTCTTATCGATGAACGAATAATCGAAAATTCACTACGTTCAAAATTACAAAAAATTTCCCAGAATTTCCCTATTCACGTGGCCGTTCTTATCAGTGATGCTAACTTGCAGCCAATAACTTGTCCTAACCATTCACAGTTGAGAATTCAAGAACAGAGTAGCACACTCCCAAAAATATTATTATACTTCAATCGTAAGCACTCACGTTCTAGACCGCGTTCATAATCTTTTTGAGGTGAAGTTCAGAGATTTGGCCTTTTCCTAATATTTCAGCACTAAGTCAGCCAAGGACGCTCTATGTAAACAATTGCAGCCTACGCGAATTTAGACCCGATACTATGGTTGATTTTTTGAATCGTGACGACGAGTTTGATTGCGGCCATACAAGAGCATAAAACATCCATGCAAACAGGGCATCACCTAAGCGCTCAGCTCAGTCACTTCTATTGTCTGAATACTATCATGTGTAAGCAGAGGATCCAACTGAGTAGTGATAGAGACCAAGAAACGTGTCGCGTGCGGTCGCGCCATCGTCACGATTTCTCGAATGTCCTATACCTTCCTTTCCATAATGGAAAATTCAGAAAATTCTGAGATGTCCACTGTATGCAGACATAACAAAGTCTCTTAAGCTCTAAATGTAAAAAGCTTCAGAAGGTCTGAGGCTTTTCAGTTTAGGGCTTAAGAATGCTAAACAAATGTTAATAATGGTTGTCTTCTCACGCAAGCAATCACAGATTCTATCATCCGCGAACTGCGACGGGTTAAGCAAAGACTTTGTGGCATAGTTATTAGAGGCGCTGCATGCAACAAATTTGAATGCACTTAGCTTGATTTACTGAAATTACCAAAAGAAAGATGCCTTCGAGGTCAATGTTGTACTTTGCTGCATGGGTTGCGCAAGGATAATGGGGCATAAATAGTATTGTAAACACATCCACCGGAGTTGCACCTTCCTTGCCTTTTACTCGGGCATCCGTGGCACTTAAAATTCATAATTCAATAATCTTTGGAAAGATACTGAAATAATCACTGCTGAGAAGCAGGGAAGTTCATGATAACGAATACTGAGTTCGCTGCAGAAGTAAAGGAAAGGAGGATGACATGTTTTTTTAGAAACATTTCAAAAGTGGGGTTCGTAGTGTAACTTTACATTAATGTCATCCGATCTTTTCCGCGTATTCCTTAATCTATGACGATTCCCAAAACTGAACCGATCGATCCTACCACCTAGAGCGCTGCGAGTGAAACACAAACTGCATTTAGCAGGCTAAAACGCAAACATCTCAAAGATGATTTTCACAAATTTTGATCGTGGTGAGACCGAACGGGCAACTGTACTTGCGCAGCGAATTTACGAAAACATGACTGCAATGGCAAGGTATCAAAGATCTGCTGCAGACAAACATCCACGATGAGTCACATGGGGGATGCTTGTGTGCTGTTTGGTTTTGACAAGAGTAGGTCAACTAGTCGAAGTGGTAATTCAAGAGAACCAAGACCAAGGGATAGAGCTTAGAACGCTGCTCTCAGTCACCTATGTTTGCGAAGCGTTTTTGTAAAAAAAGTTATGGGCTTTCACGTCATTTGATATAAGTGTGGCTCAATCACAACCTGTAGAGAACAGCACGTTTGGAAATACGCATAAACGATGGCATCAGACTAGATGCAAGCTGCTTATTAAGGTACTTGTTTTAGTACGCACACTCCTTTGCGGAAACCACTGTTATGTGCTAGTATGCAAGTTCGTCAAAAGAGAAACTGTGACTTCAGAAAAAAGCTTTGCAGATATACATATAATAGAAGCTATTTCTGAGTTCAGCATTTTCAGTTTAATGTTGGTGTAAACCACACTCCCAATCGCCCTTCAAGTCAAGCATGAACACATGCAGTTACCCTGTTTATTTAAAGAGCATCCCGTGCAATCCGCTCTTGTGCAGGCCTTATTATGTGCTCTATTTATTACCAAGCGTCGCCCAAGATTTGGAGTGGGGGGGGGGGGTTCAACAGTTCGCTACAATTCCCGTAAAGCTGACTTTCACACGCAGGTCTTGATCGCACTAACCAACGCATCGGAAACAATAGGAAAGGAGAAAGCACTTTGTCACTAGGTTTGCGTTGCATCCTAGCATGCGACGTACTACACAATTGAGCTCGTATCCGTTAGCTTGCTCTATTTGTATTATCGCTTTGACTGGTGCGTCATTGAGGGCGCCATGAACGATTTGTGGCTGTTCGGAGCATATTTTCGATTGATTTGACTGTTAGGTTGCCCGGAGAAATAATGAAGGTACTTTTTGCTGGTGGGCATCTTATAATGTAGTTTACATTCTTCTTTGTTCAGGCTTACCTAGACACTGTAAAACGCAACCAATTGTCTTTTGGATTTTGCTATTCAAGCTTATGTCAGATTGCTTGAGGGCACTTTCCACCCAGATCGGGGCCTCCAGTCCCCGATTCTGATTAAATTGAGAACCTCGGACAATCCCCAATCCCCGTTCCCAAGTCGATTATCCGGAATGGTGATTGGAAGGGCATGAACGGATGGGCGGGCATTAGTGGAAGGGGCGGTGTCCTTGGGGGTTCTCGTGCCTCCTCGCTATTCCGGAACAATTTTCTCGCTTCTAAGCGACACTTGCGCCGTGACTTAGGACTGGCTGGCCGCATAGGGGTTCTCCTATCCTATGTGCCAAAAGCTCAAAACCCCTTATTTAAGGTAGACGGTGCCTTGAAGGACTCGATCCAAGCAGACATCCATTTCTGTCTGAGTAAGGCAAACGATAGGACAGGTGATATTGAATTGATACCGTCAGTAGGTAGTGGAACGGCTGGATAAAACGAATGTAAATCCAATAGTTTAGGTGATATCAAAATATTCGAGAAACCTATACCTGCAAACAGTGGCACACTGATATAATTTTATTTTACTAATACATTCAGGATGCACCAAGCAAAGAGGAAAAAACCAAACACGTTGAACAAAACATGATACCAGCTAGTCCAAGGCTTCAGGGAGATAAACAGTGAAGAAGAACCACGACGTAAGGTCCACTAGGATATAACGATATCGCATGAAAAACATTATGAGATCACGGCTTCAGAATCTTGCATCCTCCAAAATTATTTTTAACGCCCTTTTTAGAGTGCCAGCGAGCTTACAGGAGGAAACTATCTGACTGGAAACCGTGAAGATAGATTTTGGAGGATAGCAAGACCCTAAGTTGGAGTGCCAGTTGAACGGCCTGCAAGCGAGAAAATGAGAGCATAGCATCTGCGCAGAACCAACATTGAATACTTTAGGCGTTGAGAGCAATGAAAACGAAAAGTGAAATCAGGTATCCGAGACGAACTGGTATGCTTGTTAGTAAAGCCTGGTCAAAGTTAGTGATAATGAGATACAATTCAAGTAGTTGTTAACTTGAAATAAATCTGTTTTGATTTGACCATCCAAAAGTAGGAATCGACTTTGATAGATGGACTGGGCTGGACAGATTGGGCTGACGACTTGATGAGATATATACGGCATTGCAAGGAGTGGAAGACTCGATGATAGCGGACGATTTGGGGAGGTATAGCACTTGACGAAGTTCGGCGGGTTGAAAAAGTGAGGGTGACTTGAGCAGGTATGAAACGACTGGCAAGGTATAATTATGATTTTTTCAAAAGATTGAGCGGATGAAAAAGTATTTTTCCATAATTCTGGCATAAAGTGATGTCAACACGAATATCCCCAAGCAGAATCAAGATTGTTTTACTTTGTAAAAGCTTGCGCGCAAATTTCACCGGCACAATTCAAAATTGAAAAGTTAGGGAAACTTTTCATCGCCTTAGACGGTGGACAAGCGGACGCTTTCAAGGCCTTTCTATTGCAAGATTCTCTACTACTAAGTGTAAAGTGGATTTATATTCACTTACCAACAAATCCGAGGCTTCAAGCATCAAAGATCGAAGCCGTTCTGTTAAACTCTTGCATGAACTACTACTGAAGCAACATTGAAATCATCTGGAATTTTTTTCTCGAAATAACGATAAATATTTTGACAGTTTTTCAGTTTCAATACATGAAAGTTCAATGTTTATGTACATTGCATGTAGTTTGCTGTCAGCAAACGAAAACAGCAACGCAAAGCACTTTCTCAATGTCAGTTGTTTGGATCAAGTGCTTATCTATCAACTCAATGTTGGCCGCCTGATGCTGTCAGTTTTCTAGCAAAAATTCCTTGTCTACTACTCCATCAAAACATGCTCAGAGCTGTCGTTCGGCGTCAGACAAAGGCGTGAGATCAGTTCAGGTATGTATGAAATGTCATAACTATGTCATCCATTTTTTTCAAATTTAAGTAAGGTTCCGTCCAACGCTATATTACCACTTTGTGACCATTTCGATTATGACGAATTTGAGCAAATATAATTATACGAAAATTACTAAAGTATTTTGATGACATATTTTTATTGAATTGGTACTCAAAACTAAAATATTACAGTATTAACCGACCATTGCTTTCATGCTCACCATTTATCTGACCATGACTTCCAATTATTAGGTAGTTTCATAAGTCCGGAGAGTTTTTATTTTTGTAGCCATTTCTCGATGAAGCAGTTGTTTTATGTCGAAGTATCTGCACTGTTTGAAAGAGCTAATCCTGCTTTACAAAACCGTTGTTCGTTTTCGGAGCAAATCTAAATCCCTTTGATTTATAACCTCTCACAAAATTTTTTGAGGGGCAAAAATTGGCGATTTTGGCAACTACACTTTCCGCATTTGGTCCGTATCCCGCAAGATATTATTGTCATACGTGGGCGGGATGGATAGTAGCAAGCAAGACTGGAATACTGACAAATTTGTAGCATGCCAGTATGCCTAGAACCGTTTGAACAAGGTCCCAATGGTTGTTGTCTTTGACTGCTGCCGCTTGAGTTTGGCGCGTTGTTCAGCGACACAATGTGTCGGTCCTCCTATCGAAACTTGAGGAATGGATGCGTTCTTCTAACAAGGGAAGGATGGTCAGTCGAAGTGGCCTTTTGCGATGACTCGTATATCATTATTTAGGGCATAAAACACTGATTCCAAATCTGTCTTCCTTATCTGCGGCGTGTTCCTGCACAAGAAGTTATGAGCGTTTATTGGAAAAGAAATTGAATGTGCAAATAATATAAAAACAGTAGTAACATTATTCCTAGCGCTTATATGGACCAGTGGTAATCTTTCCAACACTCTATAAAATAAATACTCTAAGGTGATTCATATCCACACTCCGGCTGTCTCATTCAAGCGCTGGGAAAATTTTAGCCAATGTTTTTTCCCAGAAAAACACTCATTTTTTGCTCCTTCAAACGCTCATAACTCCTCCTCCAGGAACGCGCCGCAGATAAGGATGATAGATTTGGAATCAGCGTTTTATGCTCTCCACCATGGTATACAACTCGTCTCAAAAGGCCACTTCGACCAACCATCCTTCCCTTGTAAGTGGTGTAGATGTATGAGTACAAGCTCTGACCAACATATTACGCTTTCTCGAAAAATTTTCAAAGTGGGGACTTCTCTGAATTGTACCAAACGCAAAACATCCACACATATGGTAGAAGTGCACTCAATCTTTCTTTATAGCGTCTCTTTGGATGGGAGACGACCTTTATATGCACCGTAGTACCATAAGGGGTCGTTCATTACTTATAAAAGTTCAGATGAAAATACCCCACTTCTGACTCCATATATGGAAAGTTGCAGGTGCCGAAATCGCCAATTTTTACCTCTTGAAAAATTTTGCTTTGCAAAATCATCAAGGAAGGGGATTTGAGTTGCTCCAAAAACGAACAATAATTCTTGTAGAGCAAGATTTTCCCATTTGAATGGTACAGGTACTCTGCCGTAAACCAACCGCTTCATCGAAAAACGGCGACAAAAATAAAAACTCTACGAACTTATGAAACAACCTAATAGTATTTGACCATGATTTCCAATTAGCGAGTTTCAGATTGCTCAAATTGCTCAATGTCAAGAAGTTGTTTTTTGAACTTTCTTGCGCTACACTTGCAGTGTGGAATCAGAAAATTAAAAATATGTGCTCGGCTAATGATGTAATGGACGTTCTACTATGGCAAAGTGACCGTAGCTGAAACTCTAATCTTGGATCTCTAGTACTTTGCAATGCTAATTATTGAAATAAGTAATTCTAATTTTGCAGTATCAAATTTGCACGTTTTTGGAGGTCTTTTTTGGGAGAATTTGAATTTTGTTGACGCTAATTCTTCTTGGTGTTTCTAACGTCTCCCTACAGTGAAGAGCGATCAATGATTTGTTCTCAAATCTGAAATAAATCCCGAAGTATGGCGAAAGACCTTAGAGCAAGGGAGATATTAAGATATTAACTGTTGGGGATCAAACAAAGGTGCATTTTTTGAGACACTATATACTAATTCACACATTACAATTTCCTCGTGTTTATGACTTCACAGCATTCAATAATGCCTTCTTAATATTATTGAGTGGTTTTTTTGTTAGAAAATGTTGATCGAGCAAGACAAGTGACATTTCAAAAAAGCGGATTTTCAGAATTATTAGGGATTTTTATAATTATAAACCATAATCATCATTTTAGATCAAAGAGGACGCCCTCGAAGAAGTTAAATAGGGTATCTTCGGAAGAAGTCTAAGAAATTAGTTGACGAGCGGATCTGAGATATGTACACCTATTTTCCAAGGGGACTTTATGACTCCGTCAGGTGTGATGCAGCAAAAGTCAAGTAAGTCATTGTTACTTTTGAAATCACTCAATTCAAGGTAATTTGGTCCCTATTTCTGTTATATTCTTCTTCTCTATTTTTGCTCAGAAAATTACTACTACTACTTTTTTACACAACTCAGCGGCGACCAGTTAAACCAAAAGGCATAAATTATCTTCTACCATATCCTGGATATAACCCTGAAAATCTAAAGTCAACGTTTGCAAATGCATAAATGTTCGAAAAAATGAACATGCTGAAGTTTCCAAGTACCAAGATTTATGACACTAGCTTGTGAGAAATGTGTTCAGTAGGAAGCAGCTGTTCGTTTTTTATGAAGCGACATTCCACATTGCACGACTAATATCTATGCGAAAAAGCTTTAGACTTTAGTGTGAATTGCTATTGGTCTATAAAAATGTCATTTTTTTTCTGAGTATGATGCTATCAGGAAACACCATTAATCTAACAAAACCTTCACAGATGTATCACATTTGCTGATACTACATCACATACGATTTACAATCCTTCAGCACTTCTCTGTACTGTAATCAGCTATTTGATCAGAAAGCTGAGCTACAACGATATACAAGTACAAGCTGCAAGTTCATTTATATTCAGTTGGCCCAAAAGTTAGTGCCCACCACTTTCGAAGTTCATGAATTCTTATTTTCTCGAAGGATTTACACAGTTCAAATTTTGTTCAGAAGCGAATGATGCGCTTTATAATTAACTAGCTGGCTTACCCGGCTCCGCCGTATGTTCCGAATAGAAAATTCCATTTCTTTACCGATCCGGACCAAACTTGGCACACATACACTTTGGGCCCCGGCGGGTGTCATAGGCTACTTTTCGTCATCGATCGATATCGATTTTATCGATTTTTTGGAAAATTGAAGCTACAGGGCTGGGAGTTGGCACAGGGGGGTAATCGAGCATGCTGATCACCCCCACGGGGGTGATCAGCATGCTCGATTACCCCCTGTGCCAAATCCCAGCCCCGTAGCTCAAACTTCGCAAAAAATCGATAAAGTCGATAAAAGTAATGCACGATTTTAAAAACTAATATTGTATTCGGAATCCCCATGCTCGATTACCCCCCTGTGCCAACTCCCAGCCCCCTAGCTCAAATTTTGCAAAAAAATCGATAAAATCGATATCGATCGATGACGAAAAGTAGCCTATGACACCCGCCGGGGCCCGAGGTGTATGTGTGCCAAGTTTGGTCCCGATCGGTTCAGAAATGGAATTTTCTATTCGGAACATACGTACAGACAGACATACATACAGACAGACATACAGACAAACAGACATTCAGCTTTATACGAGGATTATATATAATTTGATAATAACATTCATAATAAGGTAAAAATTTGTAATATAATTATAGATTATAATATATTTTGATTTTTTTGGCATCTCGAAAATTTTTACTGCTAGTAGAAACAATCGACCAGCACAAAAGTTTCTCGATTAGCAGGCCATAAAGTTCCATTTTTCAGTGCCCGCTACAAGTTTTTAACAACACTTCAGAAAATCAAAATTTAGTTATTTTCCTATATTGCTTCTATCCCTGCAGTGTTTGCGTGCTAGAAAGTCTTTCAAAGATTTACTACGAAGCGCAGGATTCCTGCTTTGGACAAAGTTGAAATTGTGCAAATCCTTTACAAAATTTAGAAGTCAAGCTGTACTTGCAACATTGCAGCTCAGCTTTCTGATCCAATAAATGATCGCAGTAAAGAAATGTGCTGAGAGACCACGTAAATGGCTCAAACGCCCAGCCGTAGACAGTTTCTTTCACCCTGGATGGCATGTTGTTTGTAGCATTCTGAGGTGAGAGAGGCTGGCTAATAAAAGAGGATTTTAGTAGGTTATACAAGAATTCATAAAACTGCTTGACTTCAGGTCTTTCAAAAATGACTAAGTTCAAATTTGGGACGTCGCTAAAAAGTTTTTTTTTGCTTGGATAGATCTAAGTTATGTCTTATGTAGTAGCCAACTGCTCAAATCGTTTTACTCACCTTCTCTAGTCCTCTTCTTGTTACGAGCACATCTCCAATCAAAATGAACCTGGTAAATGTAACGGGGTAACCAACTTTCCGACAAGTAATTGGTCGAGAAGCCAATCAGCCAATCGCGCATAATTTTTTGGAAACTCAGTCGCTGGGCAATTCGGGGGTTTTTTCAAAGTGCCGATGCTAAGCCACACCCAGTCGTTATTTTTTACGATTAAAAAAAAGATACGATCTCTTTCATCAACTGATTTGAGAGGCAAAATCCAGCAAGTCAGTCCATTCATAAGGTTCAGTAACATTTTAGGCAAAACTGCCGACTCATCTTTCTTGGCACTCTGGAGCTTTCAAGATTAAATGATTCTACGCGACAAAGAATACAGTCCTAAATAACATCTAATTGCCGATTTTTTTGCAAATCCATGTCTCAGATTCATACAAAGTTGCGCAAGCAATTTGATTTTTTTGCTGAAAATTATAATTCATGTTGCTGGAGAAATGACCTTTGTGTTAGATGTTTCGCAACAAATTTGACAAATGCAATGAGTTCACAGCGTGTTGATAATGGGCATCATGTGTCATAAAAATTTCGATCATGTATGCTTGCACGAAGAGTTTGATTTTTTTGCTATAAAAATCATAATTTCTATTGCTAGAGAAATAAACCTTGCAATGTTATTGCGTTCTGCAACAAATTTGACAAATAGGGCTAGTTCACGCTGATGCTCATAATGGGCATCATGGTCATTATAGATCTCGATCAAGTAAGTGTTCGTGATAATCTTCCTTTCATAGAAAAAAGCATTTAGTTGTGTTGTGGAACAAAACCGCCGACATTTCTGTTGTTTAGATATTCTTTTTCCACCTAAGCTTCCTGACAAAGGGATGGTCATGACTTTGAGGACTAGAATTTATAGCTCTTCAGCCACCGCTACACTTCAGAACTTGCAGATGAGTTATCGCAAGCATGGAGTGGACGCAATTACAATTTCTCGAAGAGAGTTCGGACATCAAAAAATGACAACCAATAAGACGAGAGTGTCAATTTGTATGAAAAACAGATGACGGTCACCCTCGTTCGGCGACTTATTGGTTGTCATTTCCATGTATCTGGCCAACCTACTTTCTCCGTGTGATAAGGCACCGTTAGCAGAAGGACACTTTGAGTTCAGGTTGCTTGGTTGAAGGCAGTGTCCCCGCAAATTTTCGTTTTCCAGTTTTTAACATTTTCGGAGCCTTCTCGCTATGAAAAATCCATATCTGGGCTTCTCAGCCACGGAAATGGCGAAAATGAGCTTTTCCGGAGTTTTCCAGGTCCGCATTCAGTGCAAAGGCGTGTAAATGGGCGGGACTCGGAAGGGAAGGAGGGGTTCGAAACTTCCGGCGTACTTTCACTCAATGCGACCTGGAGAGCTTCGAAAAAGGCTCATTTCGCCATTTTGAAACGCTGAAAAGCTCAGATATGGGTTCATCAAGGCGAGAGGGCTTCTAGGCGAAAACTGGATAGCGAATGTTTGCCGGGACGCTGCTTTGAGGGTCTTGATTTAATGGCACAGTCCATTAGAGTACCTGACCACTCAGTGTGGAATGCGACAACTCTAAAACATCAACAGTGACAAGTAATGCTTGTCACGACAACTTTTCGCCTGTTTTTTTAAATCAGAATTATACTACATTGTTTTGAGATATCTCATCGACTGTCCAAAGGTAGCGTTTCCAAAAACGCTCCTCCCCCTTCCCTCCCTCCCCCCTCAAAAAAAAATTCAGTATTTACCTGGAGAATATTGCATGTGCTGACCACGGGAATTTGACCACGGGAAGCAAGATTCTACAGACTATTCTGGACATAGCGCTTTTTCCGTTGCTATGCCGCAATAAATGGCTACATCGTCATTATAGGGCTTCGGTTTGTTTTGTTTGTCTCTTCCATTTATATATCTCTTCTTCCTTCTGTGACTAAGAATTGGCTGATCCTTTGTCTAATTTCTGTGTTGCCTGATTTTCTGTTCAATCGTTTTTTTTGGTGCACCATGAGTGTATGCATAAAATAAAATAAATAAAATAAAATTTCGTTTTCCCTCTAACCTATTTACTCAGCAATATAGCTGAAAACGTTACGATAGTTCCGTAGTTTTGCAGTTAGAGAACGAAGCCAAAACCTTTTCAAAAATATCTCGAGTTATGTACAGTTCACATGATTTCCATTGCCTATCATTTCCACCGGGACAAAATCGGGTTCTCGCGCAAGACGACTTTTTAGTTCCGTAGCTTTGAGTCCCTCAAGACTCCTGCGGGGCTTAATCACGAATATCTGAGTAACTTTAGACCGAGTTGTGGGTGGAGCAGCAAGGGGAAGATAGCGGAGTAAGCGAAAAGAAACAAAGTTTGCAACAAGGCTGTCCAATTCAGTCTGGTTTCGAAAATACAGCTTGAAAATTGAATCGCATGGTTAATTAGCGTGGAAGAAGTAAAAAAACTGTTGGGGAAAGGATGCTTTATAGAGAGAATGAGTTTGTCTTGATTTGAAAATTTGAGAAGCTCAATAGTCGACCGAGCTATATGTAGGCTAATTTATTCAAAGCCAAAAGGAAAAGCTTCTTGCGTGTCTTTAAATTCTTTAGCAGAAACTCAATAGTCTTTCCCACGCGCCCGTTGGGAGTCTTCGAATTTTAGTGAGAGGCACTTGTAACTTAGTTTTAACAATCTCTCTCAACATACTGGCTTTCGAAGAGATTTCTTCGCAGCTATCGGTCTTCTCAAATGAAACACCTCAGTGGTTTTTATTAGAGCAACCTGCATCAGGTGGCTTAGCCTGTTGTTAAACACGGGAATACAATCTGTAAGCTAAAATATCAGGCATCTCTAGTGTGAGATTATCGACTGAGATTTGATTTGCACCCAGCAGTAGTTATTATATTCGCTGACAGATAGTGTACTTAAGCTGTGCTTATCCCTCCCACTATCAGCTACTCTTCCGATTAATGGCTCTTTGCTATCTTCTTTGATAGAATCTTCTTGAGTTTTGATCCTTGGCTTTTCCCTGGCACCTATTCATTTATCAGTTTGGTTCATAACCCATACATGAAGTATACAAAAATTCCTCCCAAAACCTTATGAAAGTGTTGTATTTTTATGTATATATACATATATATATATTTTTCTCAACAAACGTTCTACCCTTTATGCATATCAGAAATTTTATACAAAACGAAATCGGAATGCCATAAAAAATTGAATAGTGTGACTTTTTTAAATACATCCAGCACTCTTTAAAACACTGAGTCGCAAACTCAAAATGAAAGCAGTAAATTTCGTTGACTCTCTTAGCATTTTGATTTATCAAAAATTACGATTTTGAGTGCATTTCTTTATCAGCCTTTACCTTCCTGATATGCCTGCAAGTTGACTGAATTCCGATTTTTTAGTTCGCTTCAAAACTGCCAGAAATGCAGAATTTTCTCTTTCGAAGCTGCATTGAATCGAGCGATTTTGTGGGGACCATCGTACTAGGTCCGAAAGTATGACTTTCTTAGCGGCTGCCACATTTTGCAGAACAAAGAATTTTAGAAGATCTTGGCAGCCTTCAGGCATCTCCTCATTCGTTTTCAGATGGTTATGGTTTTATTGCAGTTCAACCAATGATCTTCCAAAGATTATGACCTGGCTTTTTACTGGTCAAGTTTCGCTGCTTTTCTAAGTTTGGCTCTTGATTCCCCGAAGAAGTCCGAGTGACATGTATAGAGCAAACTCTAAAGGCCATAAAACCATTTTTCCCTCCATGGCTTATCTTTCAAAATTTCTGAAATTATTTTTTGATGCCGTCAAATTCCTTCGGTGGTAAACTTACACCTCAAACAACTAAGGAACAAACTGTCATTTGAAGCAGTATTTTTTCTCTTCCTAATGTTGTTTCTGATTCTCAAAGTCTTCGGGGTAAGATCAAGTTTTAGGTTGTGTCCTGTCCGCCAAATACGAAATTTAAAATTTCGAGTTCTTAAAAGACCATTTGCTTTGTTAAATTAGTGTTGAATCATGATCTTTTCCAAAGTCTTGAATTTCGGTAATCTACTGTTGTTTGACGCTTTTATGACTGAGATAACCTCTAAAATTCGGTGGTTTCGTTAAAGAAAATGACAATGAGCCATGAAAATGAGAAAATTGCTTTGTACATAACCTATAGGGTTTGCTTTATCCATTCGTTACTTTGACTCCTTCGGGGAGTCAATATAAAAATTTAGAGATGTAACGTAAATTGGCTATGCTAAAAAGCACGGGTTTCAGATTTTGGTGATTTTTCAGGGCCTCGCTCACTGTACTCCCATAGAAATATAACCATTTTAGAGAATGTCCAACTCCATTGAATGCTACCGAGACATTCTAAAACCTTTATTCCGGCACCCGTTTAAAGAGAGCGAAAATACTTTCGGGATCTAAAAGATTTGAATTTTTCAAGAAGCTTGTGCAGGATTTATAGACCAAATCAGCAGGGTGTTTTTGCTTTCTTGAATTCATTCCGGTTTTATTGATCGATAGCTTGCACTTTGGAGCTGATTATCTGCCAAAAATGCACTAAAATTGCAACATTTTTTTGCGATCATTACTCAAACTGAGAGTTTAATTGCATCTTTCATTTCACTCCATCTCTCACGTCATTTCAACAACCTACGCATAGATCCCATAGCAGACACTACTTAGCGCTTGGAGCTCAGACAAACTCCATTTCTACTGCACAGAATGGGTGCACATCATGTCTCCGAAGGTCTCCTATATAGGGCTCGTAATCGAATTGTCTCTAATCGGCGTCGGCTTCGAAATCGCCCCCCTTACACAATTTTCCACATAACGCATTATGTCTTATTTACTTCCAACGCATCGTCGTAAACAACGAGATTTTCGCCCCCGTTTGGCTAGATCTCGTAGAAATTTGGCTTCATTTCTATTAAGTTGGCGAAAAAATAATTTTGATTTGACTTGTGAATATCCTCTCTAAAACATCATTTGGATGGCTAAGCTCAGATTTTTCGTGGAAAAATAACATTAAGACTCTAGTATCTCATTTCATAGGGCTGTTTATTGATGTAAGAGCACAATTATGTTCAAGCCGTTAGTTTCATATTTTGAAAGTTAGATAAAGGATCTGACCTAATCTTTTTTTGCCCGAATCGTCGTTATGATAACCAGAGCCAAAAGGCAACATCCCTTATATTCCCCTTGCCAGTCTTCCTAACAATATCAAAAATTTGCATAGAAATTATTTGCAACCCTTTTTGCCGCCGAAAACAGCCGAAATTATTCTTCAGCCAGCCTATTACTATACCACGGAACTAGAAGACACCTTATCCTGCAATTATTGAAATATTCAAATTTTTTTTCATCATGTTTATTGCAGGTCTATGCAAACTGGCGAACAAGTCACTTTAGGATTCGCTGTTTTCACCGCAGCAATCACTTTGGCTGTTGTCGTCTATTACAAATTCTGTAAACAAAGTGAGTTTGAAGATTTCTGAAATTTTTGATAAAGTCTATTCTTTGCGCAGTCAAAACCTACTTCCTTATCGGTTTGCACAGATAAATTGACTTTGGAACATCCAACTACTTCATATACTGACGACTTTCGCACTAAAGTTTTTCACGTTTTATTTCTTGATGTTGAGGACCAACTTTTGCACTGCTTATTATGTCTACTAACCACCACTATGGTGCTCTTGGGCATAAATTGTAGAAACGCTTATGGTGGCTTGTTTTCAGAATTCACTTATGTTAGGAGGATTCAACAATTATATATTGATTTATCACCTGATTTGACCATCGGCCTGAACTGACTTGCATTTATGAAATCCCACATCCGGTTTTGGGCATTACTTGTCACTTTTCTCTGATTTTCAGTACCACGAACACATTTTCGAGTTTCACATAACTAGTTTTTCATGAAAATGGAGAGATCAAGTCCATAGATTATGACAGAATTCGAAATGAACAGAGCTTTGTTTTGAAATGTAAATGTTTTAGCAAACAAAGCCATCAAAAACTATAATACATCTTATTCTATCTCTAAGACTCATAATATGGAATTTTACCTTAGTTTGAAATCATTAAGAAGCTTCAAACTTTGTTTGTCGGCGGTAGTTCTTTATGGGCAGGTGATATTTTAACTGTAGTATAATATTGAATATTTAACAAATTACTAGCTATTATGGTAACAGATTCGAGAGCTTTGAGAAGTGGAGAAATTCTGTTTGTTTGGATCCTGGATTTGTGCTTTTAGTCATTTTTACTACACAAATAACATTGCTCAACTTGATTTTTGCTTTGAAGGGCTGAATTTTCGAATTTTTGTAAAGTAATGATGCGGTTATATAAGAGTTATTCTTTCGCTATATTTGCTGAGATAAGAGTAGTACAAACTTTTGTAAAGAGTCTGAGCGATTTTGCCCTCTTCAGTGTCTGAAAAGTCGAAAACACATCAAACACCTAGACGACCAAACACCTTGTAGGGTGAAGAATTGATTTGTCTCCCTATTTTAGTCAAAATCCATTTAGTTGTGATACTTCAAATTTTAACGCTTGATATTCACTTCTATTGTCCATCCAATTCGTGACATACCTTAAATTTCCGTAAAATAAAAATTTATTCGAAACTAGTTGCTGATATAAGGGCTCAATGGAGGTAAAAATAATTTCCAGACTTCAATTAACATTTCTTCCAGATCCTTATGCGAATCAACGACCAGTACTGCCTAAATGAGACTGCTTTCATATCCGTAAGCATTTCGTGCTCTATAGCCAATACCCAGAGAATATGTGGATTGCGAGAAAGTGCAGAAGCGAACACCCGGAGGCGTAAAATCGATACGATGTAATGCTGGGGATATTGCAGATTCTCCTCGTCAGTCACTGAGCTTGAACCCACAATCAACGTTTTCCTCGGCGTGTAAATTAACGGAAATCTAGCACAAATGGCGGCTGTTCCAGTGAGTTCCTCGTCAATTTTTTTGTCGAATTTGGAAGACAAATCAAATAATATGTTTAGCATTTTCAAACGGGTGAAATTATCACTTTCTATATGCTTGGATTCACTGTACTTATGACTGCGACTGTCGTCGTCTACTACAAGTTCCTCTCTCCGAGTAATTTGGTTCAATTTAAACCCATAAAAATATAATATTGATTGATTATTATTCTAGATATGTCCGGACGCTCGGTTGGTAACCTGATATGTAAAGGAAGGGCACAAAAAATTGCGAAATGCGAAGAACTTGTGAATCGGATTGTACGCAGAAGAAAATCGTAATTTTTGAATGTAGGTGGTAATTTTATGAACTATGAACTTTTTTTTGGAATTTTTCTACTTATTGTACATAAATGCTCTTGTCATAAATGTTACGATTTGCGGTTTCAAGCTTTGTATAACATTAAGACGCACTTGGGAAGTGGTTTCGCTTCCAATTTTTTCTTGTCGCAATAAGTAATCTTTGATTTGACTGACTTGGCGGCTGGAAGACAGGGCTTTATGACCTAACTAGGGCCGCTCGCGCCCGTGACGCACTCTGCGTCTCTGTCTCTGATCATTATCTAGCTTTGATTAAGTCACGAGCCCTGCCTTCCAGCTACCAAGCCAGTCAAATCAAAGGGTACAGTAACTATAGTAACTATCTATAACTATAGATAGTTATTCTTGTAAAGAGTAGGTTGAATATGGTAACAAAACTTCCGCATGGCGTTCTATTCAAGTTTTATTTTCGGCAGCTAAACACTTTTTTACGATTTATTTGCCTTTCATATTATTACAATATGCGGCACCCAAACAAACTGATCCATTCTTTTAACGTGAGTGATCTTACTCTTTGCCAGTTGCAAGTGCCAAGCTTCTTCTGAAATTCGTCTCTCCATCTCGTCAGGGCCAGTATGTCGAGTCGTGTTCTCTCCAGGGCTTCTTGCAGTTCATGTAGCTGGACTTCGTTTGGCAGGCGTCTCACGTTGGATGTTCTGATGTGTTAACAGTCGTTGTTGGGGTGGAACATACTTGATCCTGCTGTTCCGCGGCTTCCTGGATTAAGGGGTTCGACGTCCGGTAGGGTGGGAAAGAATGGTCAAAATGACCGACCAGTCGAGGGACGTGTAGAAGATGAACCAAACACTTTTTAGTAGTTTGAAATACCGCCAACCCTCTTTTGGAATTTTTATAGATAGCTCCAATCCAACATCTCATCGAGCTGTACAACTGTCTAAAACTGCTCTGCTCTGTGCTTTCTGTCAAGAGCTTTTTGGTAATCATAAAAATCACGTCGCGCGGGTTGCTCGTTTCTAAATAAGCTGTAGTTTTTCGCTGCTCACACATCCCAAGCATCTTGAACTCTCTGGTTTGAAAACACTGGGCCAATATACAGGATGTCCTAAAAACATTTGTAAATTGTTTGACAGTTGATATCTATCTCTCTTCTCGTAAAGTTTTTTTTTTGCCATTCCTCAGTTACTATTCTGTAGGTCTCAATTGAGAAAAACAATGTGAAGCTCAGGCTTACTGATCGCACTCTGTCATAATCTGTAATTTCGCTCCCTTACAGCGTTTCCGCCGTAACTAACCATCACTGTGATGGTACAAGGTGGCAGTACGATAATTAGATTCGTAGATCACGACTAGCCCTCATGAAACCAAAATATAGTGCGCCACAGCTTAAAAGAAAAAAAAATCAATGAAAAAGTTGCGGAAGTTTAGTTGCCAACTGTGATTCACAGCAAGTTATTCTGAGACGTTGCAGAATGCTATGCCTAAGAAAATTCTTATTCTTGCAAGAGATATGGGTTCTTGTGCAAATGGAAGCCTCGTAAGTACAACTAATGCGCATAACTTAAAAGGTGTGCTGATTGAACAGCATTTAAAATATCTTTTCCGTCCTGAATTCAATAAAATCACATCACCATTCGCATTTGCTGGAGCAGGTGATACGAGTGTACAACGTGCGCCATAATTAACCTTTGATTCAACTGGCTTGGCTGCTGGAAGGAGGGGCTTTGTGACCTAACTAAGACCGCTTGCGTCCGCAATGCAGTCTGCGTCTCTGTCGCACACGTGCTCTCTGACCATTATCTAGCCTCATTTAGGTCACGAACCCCGTCTTCCAGCCACCAAGCCAGTTGAATCAAAGGGTACTTGCGCGTGTCTGCAAAAGCCAGACTCCTGCAAGACAAGCTTGCTACAACACATCACAAAAGAAAAATTTGGGAATCTTTAGAAAGAAAACTATCAAAATTCTAAAAGATCCTATACAAGCAGCTGAAAATCACAAATCACAAAACTGTTCCAAAATCAGGTTCAAAACTATTTTCGTCAGTCGAATAACACTAGATGTTTATCTGAAAGATTTGTCTTAGCTGGTTAGCCATGAATCAGGACAGCTACGTTTCTAAAGCTCTCGAATATAATTCATAGATAAAACAGTCACTCACACGCAGGTGACATTTGCAATTTTTTTGAGCAATTATTGAGTACGTAATCCTTACCAAGCGCAACTATTACGGTATTATAGCGGAATGACTTCTCTAACCTTTGATTCAACTGGCTTGGCGGCTAGAAGGCGGGGCTTCCTTGACCTAATTAAGGCTAGATAGTGATCAGAGAGCAACAGAGACGCGCGACAGAGACGCAGACTGCGTCGCGGGTGCGAGATTGAGATCGATGATCGATGTCTTGATTAGGTCACAAAATCCCTCCTTCCAGCCGCCAAACCACTTGAATCAATGGTTACATTGCGGACATAAAAGGACTTCAAAATGTTTCAAGAGTCTCCAGCTACGGAATGAAATGCGACATCAAAAAATTGGGTTTTGAAAAAAAAGTAGCATAACAGTTCCACTTCTTACTAACACGTATGGTATACAACGCTCTTGAAAAGATATTTTGTAGAGGATGATTGGGGCATTCTATAGCGAGGAGTTTCTTCGTGACACTGTTGCAAAGTTAAAGCAAATAATTTTTGTGCATTTTATATTCTGGGTCAAACATGAGACTGTACCGCTTTAATGCTTTAACATTATACAATTTTCAAATTACATGATGTTTGCGCGTAAGAAGCACTTCCCAAATATGGCATTTTCGTGTAAAACTAAAGAGGAACTAGACGAGTTATTTTTCATGTTACAAGAATCTCATCTGTCAGATTCGGAATGCCACATGCTGCTTTTATCTGTGTACACTAACAAAAGGTAGACCGTAGAATAAAGCGTTCGGATGATTAATGATCGTCGTTCCTGTCCCTACTTCTTCAACCTTTCAAAGTGCGTATGCATCAGCATCCTCGCCGTGAAGGGGAGTGCAGTTTAAGAAAATTTTATTTCTTGGTGCTCCTATTTTTCGCTCCATTCATAAAGTGTCCTTACTATCCTTTTCTGTGACATACCAAACAAAAGCGTGGGTTGTGTAAGTTGCGCTCCTCAATTTTTTGTATATTATATTCCAGGTAAATCTAGCAATTTTTTCATTAAAGTCATCTTTTCCGTGACGTTAAGGAACATCACGAATTTTTGCAAACAAAAACCAAACCTGATAAAAAGGAATGAGAGATAAGTAATAAGGTTTTCTATGAACTACAGGTCAAAATTCGGGAATTGCAGTTTGACAAACAATTTATTTACATCAAAGTGCTCAGGAGTGTTCCTGATGGATAATGAGCACAAGGTTGCGACAAGGCCCACCGGAGGGGGAGGGGGGGGGGGGGGGGTGTATTCAATGTGGAGTAATGAAAGGTACATAAAGAAAAAAGGCAGCTTAAAACCTAATTTTGTTAGGGCAGTAAGGTCGCATGCTAAATCGGAACGCTCAAAGTGCTTTCGCTCTTTTGGACGCGTTTATTGAATTCATTAAGAATCCAAGTACTCAACTCAGAGAAAGCCTGTGAGTTGAAAGTTTTTAAATCGTTGGGCCTCCTCAAATGCTTTTATTCCCATAAAAACAAGGTATTCTATGCGCTGTTACTGCTTGGAGATATCTTTCCATTAGACTGCTCGGATTTTGTAGGGCAGAAGAACATTTTCTGTGAACCTTTCTTCTAGAAAAAACAAAAAATTTATCTGGAATCATCACTCCGCGCAAGATTCCTTGCCTTTTATAAAAGTATCTTCCACCGCATAGCAATGCTTCGCTATCTAGATTCTTTTAGAGCATTCTTTTGAAAACGGTTTTCTCTGTAAAAAGCAGGTTTTTCGGATATTGTCAAAAACGCTCTAGTTTTTAGAATGAAAACGGCGCAAACCCTGACAGACTAGTGTAAACAAGTACCAAAAATTCTACGTATGCGAAATTTGCCCAAATTAAGCAAGAGCAACCAATTAAGAGTCAAAATCGCTCTGGAACTTTTCACTAAACTTTGTGAGTTTTTATCAGAAAGGACAATTCAAATAAAATTTCGCTAATCAGAAAGGACAATTCAAATAAAATTTCGCTAATAAGAAACAACTCTTTTTTTTTGAAATTGTCGGCTCTTCTCAAAATCCTTCTTTCGCAAGAAGTCCCTTTGATTTTGAAGCGATCCGTCCGGACCAGACTACGCCTCATATACTCCGGAATGGGGCGAGCGTCATAGGCTCTCTCGCTCTTACCTTGCTGCGTTTTGTTGATGGCTAGAAATGAGGAAAAAAATAAAAAGCTAAACATTCAAAGTTTGCTTGTAGCGGGTATGTACTTCTCGCAAATAAGTGTTTATACAACTTAATCCTCAGAAATACTGCCACAAATTTGCAACCTTATATCAGGGCGTCTCATAATTTTTTACCGTTTTTGCCCTAAACATCAGCATTTCTCGAGAAATGGGGCACCTACAAAGAATACAAATACATGATTCGTACTTCTGCATGTGTAGGCCATATGACCACATGCGTGGGAGGAGCTCAGGACGTCTAGGGGCGGAGTTTGCCATTTTGCCTCAGCCATTTTTTCCTTTATTTCCATCCAAGGAAAAAGATCGGAAAGTGTCCAATCGAATATGCGATGTGTCAAGCGTATGCTAAAACAAATGGGGAGTTTTTTTAGGTACTTAGGGGCGGAGATACGATTTTTGACAGAAAAGTCCGTTTTCGACTACTATCAAATTTCAGCTCAAAACTTCACATGGGATAAGATTTGGGCAAACTTTTAATAGCCATCTTGTAGAGCTTGCTTTGTCGAATGGTCACTCAAGGCACATCAGGTGAAGGAAAAATACAAAAAGACGGCGGTTGTATAAACACGGTAAAAAATTATGAGACACCCTAATAAGTGTCCTTGATGGTTCGGATATGAAAAGACTTATGGGAAAACGTAGTAGATTCTTTAAAATGCTTTCTTTTCGTGAATTTTTGTTTAGTCCATAGTTGCATCGCTTCAGAAATAGAAT